TTCATCTCATAATAACAATTATGAGATTCAATCCATTATCCTTTTTACTTTGCCTCTAAGAAACTGGGATATATATTTATGTTCAATTCCAGTATATTTTCAAAGCCTAATTTCTGAATCTTTTCTCTATAATATATGCATTCATATTCAATATGGTCCTATCAACCTATGTTAATGTGTGTGTTTGTCACAAATCACTTCCAATTTTTTGAAGCAGAAAGAGTATAAACAAATACAAATAAAAAGAATGTCCTTCTCTCTTCATTTAATCACATCCTTCACGGTTTTGCTCAAATACTACCAAGTCCATGAAAACACCTTTGACTCTTCAAGGACAGACTGATTTCCTCTTCCACTTACTAATAACACATTTGGATGACAGTGCGGTATTAGTATCATAATATAAATATTTGATTATATTATAAATATATATATATATCTCAAATATAAGGTCATGTTTAGAGTTTATTTCTTTCAGGCTTCAGAGCCAAACAAATTTTAAAAATGCAAAAAATAATGACAAAACATTGAGTCACTTAAATGAATATGTTTTTCTTTTTAAATCATGATCATTACCTAAACTTTACCAAATCTGCTAAACTTCTCAGATTCAAATAAGAATCTCATCACTGTATTATGTTGATCCATCTGATGTTCTATGTTTTCTTTCTTTGTTGATCTGATTTTTTATATATCAAGTGACCATGTACATACAAAGTAATTAATAAATAGATATTATAGAATCTGAAGAATATCAATATTCTTTATTGATTGCCTATTTCCTCCCTCAATTAGATTGAAAAGTCTTTAAAGATAAGGATTGTACCATTCTTACATTTATACGTCTTAGAAGACATACAATGCTAGAAACAAGTGTTATATATTTGATGACTGACAACTCCAAATTTATATTTATTTCTTTCATTTCTCTCATAATGCTTGAAGGATTATTATTGAATAGACATTATACTTATAAGAATTAACAGGTCTCACAACTATAGAATAAATATCAATTTAGGTGTTCATTAAAATTTATATTCAGTAATGTTATGTTTGTTTTAATTGGCTTAGCCTTACATGACATTATAAAGTTAGCTAACTGTAATTCTTCAAACAGAGCTGGTAAATGAACTAGCACTTATTTTTCCCATAGATGGGTAGTAGAGACATTAGATTACTAAGCAAAATATTTAATTAGACCCTTTACTAAGAAGTTGCCAAATGTCCAGAATTATCAGTACCTCTGACATATTTAAGAGAATTTTTTCTAAAATAAATCACATGTGTTTGAATTATGAATGCATAATTGCCTCTAAAATATCCATATCAAAATAAAACTATCATTAAATTTCCATCAAATAAAAATCTTATGTTTGTCTAAGATCTCCACAGAGATAATTTTTAAATATTTTTTCTCTAAAAAACAACAAATTTATTCTAAATTTAGAGAGGGGGCTGAAACACAATTTTAACACTAAATTAGTTAATGTATGCTTCCACTTTTAAGATTTGAAAATATATTTGGATGGTTTCTATTGTCAAAAATGTTTATTGCATATCTCCTCTTAATACAGAAGAATTTATTTCATATTCCCTTTCAATGCTTATCCATAAGTACATATACTTACCCTATGTAAAATCAAAATTTAATACTGTTTTCCTCTCTTAAGACCACTTAACCAAAGCATTTCTCACTGTTTCCAACATTATAATTTTTATTCTGATTTTTAACCATATACTATTGATAGAATACTAAAAATAACTCTCTTAATAATTATTTTAAAAACATTTTAAAGAGCAATTTATATTTTATGTATTAGATAACAGAGGACAAAGAGTTAAAATGAGGACAAAGAACACATATAACTAAATAAATTTTTACTAAAAGAAAGGGACACTGAACTTTAAGAGAACATGAGGAAGAAGGTTAGCAGGCAGAATCCTCTATACTCTAGGCTTTTATTTTCTTCAACCTTATTACAGTCTTCTTATCACCACCAACATAGCATTTTCAATGCAATGATAGAGTCTGCATTACCACTTCAAAGGAAGCCAGGACAGGGTCTTGGTAGGAAACAATGCTATCACTGGAGGTATTGTTTTTCCTTCTGTGCTAATTCTACTTTGCAACAAACAAAATATATATTTTTTTAATATAAAATACTTTAAACTGCGAACTTGGCTGCTAGATATCCGTATGAAATTTTTGACTGAAACATTATCACTTTTTATTTATTGCTAAAACAAACTTGTAATAGTTTTCCTCTGGGATGGCAAATTCGAAGCAAAACTAATTACATTACCTGTTTCAGGTATCTTGATATTTTCTGTCAATCACCTGAGATCAAGTCTCATAATTAGCCAATTTATACACTGGACCCCAAAATTCATTTCCATAACACCAAAACATTCAAATCAAAACACAGCTCAGGATATCCTCTGACATGGGGTCAGATCTTATTTTCTACTTAAAGTCCAACACTCTCCCAAGAGCCAACTAAATAGCAATACTTTTGGATCCCACACCCAAGAAAACTTGGCTGACCTTGTTACTGTCAGACGAAGTATTAACAACAACTAAAACCCTACAGTTTTTACTGTTGAAGTTCCCCTGGTAGATCAGCTGTTGATCTGGTTGTGGTATAATACACATGCAAAGTGTGCTGAAACAAATGTCTTGATAATTTATTCTTCATGAATTAATTCACTTAAATGCTTTTTCTAAGGCTCAACACATATTTTAGGAAGTGACTAGAAAACATCAGTTCTAGAGCTAAGGTTCCAAAACGCCCCTAAAAATGTTTCACTAACAAAGGTTAGGACTTTATCAGATTGAGAGGAGATCTATAAAGGGCAGATAAACATTAGTGTATGATGTCTCTTAGAGGAACAAAGGAGCCCACTAAAATTTAAATCCTAAGTGTAGCAGAGACAGAGCAAATATTTAACCCTGGAAAAATCATCCATCATCAATCCCAACACTGCCTGCCATTATACAGATCAAGTTCTTTATTTTTTAACTGATGAATATTTTGTCCTGAAATCCAATCATTTAGAACATGCATTTAAAGAGGATACAAAGATCACAGTCACGTCTTCATCAGTTCCAAATATATTTTTTAAAATGGGCAAAACTTGTACCAGCATAACAGCACAGATTACTCTATGAGATCTTCATGTGAGTATAACCAATCATAGGCAACATAAGGTATGGCCAAAAGATGTTTTTAAATAAAATCACTGTATATGACTATGCAGATGTTCAAGTCCTTGAAAACACTATTACCATAATTTGGCATCTAATTTTAAATTTTCAGTTGGAAAACTAGTCACTGCATCAAGATTTTCAATTTAAGAAATTCAGAAAAATATGAGAATAATAAACATTAAAAACAACTTAGCTATAAACAGTGCCATAATTAAAGTTGCATGCATTAAAGATAGTGAAGATTCTCACATTCAAATCTTGTCTAAGAAGCCAATGACAACACTATGATATTTAAGAGTAATTTGAGAAGATTATTATTAACATCTCTTTATACAGTTTCTAACATGGAGAGTTTTCATTGGTAGGAGGTCATTCACCCCTATGTGTGAAATTATAAGAACATCTGAAGCAATGCATGATTACACACGATGGGTCCCTGAACTGATGTGTATTTGAATAATGCTACAGAAATATTTTATACCTACATTGCTAGAGTGTATCTATTATACTATCCACCATACTCCAAATTCAAAACAGCATACTAGAAAATGATCAAGTTTCACTTTGCTTTACTAACACATCCCCTTCCCCAAAACACAAAACCTTGATTGACAAAAATGATTCCTTTTTATATTTTGTGATTGGCATAAACACAGAATTATGATTACATAGAAGGAATTAGAATAGCAATAGCTAACACTGAAGAGAAAAATAAACTGATTCTCAATGTGGCTAAAAGAAATGATATTAACAATTATTGTTAAGGAGAATTTAATTCAAACTTGTTTTCAAACGTTTTTTCAAACTTGTTTTTCAAATATAATTCAAAATTGTTTTCAAAATGTTTCAGAGTAAAGAATGAGTGTAGTACCTCTTTGTGCCCAAATAACATAAATTATAACTTCTAAGTGCTTAGTAAGAGGTAGGACTTTGATCAATTAAGATTTAAAAAACAACTTCTTGTAATAATTGTACTCTTAGCAAGTATCTTTAAAACACCACAGATAGAGGAGTTTTATTAAACGATACAGATTTTTTTACTCCTCAAATTGTGACAATACTATAAAAAAATTAACTTATACAAGTAGAATAGCAAGTTTATGCCTATTTCAGAGTACTTGATAATTTATTTTAAATAATAATACTGCTCTATACTTTTCTTCAAGAAACAAAAGATCTACAGTTTGATTTTATTTCACATGCATATACATTATTGAACTCATTGACACTTTGTGAAATCAATATGTGTTTTGCAAATCAAATAATTCAATAAATGACATCTAAACAAAATAATTCTAATTACATGTGATAAGCTAAAAACAAACAAACCTACACAGCAAAGGCAATCATTTCCCAAAGCTAGTCCATACACATATTCTTGAAGAGAATATAAACTAGCTTCTACGTTTCTGGCAAACCTCAGCCAATTTTATAGCATTGTAAAAAAGAAATGCAGAAGAGAGAAAAATCTGCCCAGAGACTAATTCTTCTTAAGAAAGGCCCTGCCATTGCTGCTTTTCACATTTCTATACAGCCAAGCTAAGAAGAGCATTCCTCAACAATGTGAATAATTTCATTACCTTTTATCATTAAATATCAAAACTAATCCTAGCTGTCTTTTGTCAAGTAATTTATGAATATTTACAGAATTTATTGAAAATATAAAAAATTTTGCTTCAAAGTCAGCAAACATAGAACAATGAGTGAAAGGAAGAGAAGCAACACAAAACAAGTCAAAACAAAATTATCACATAGTCACGGAATGATGTTGAAAAAAAAAGAAACTTCTTACCGAGTACCCCAAGTCGATAGTTGACTGTGATGACGATCACATTGCCATAACTTGCCAAGACACTCCCATCATATAAATTTCCAGTCCCTTCCATATATGAGCCACCATGGATATATACCATCACTGGTTTGGGACCCCCACTGTCCCGAATATCTGAAAAACAAATGATTGGCAACTGTTCTTATCCTCTACATGCATAATGAAGCACAGAATATATTTTCCATTTTAGAAACAAGAGGGCATGATTTTAACATAGTTCTTTAAATTGTTGTCTTCATTAAAGTGTTTCTTAAGCAACTTGTATTAAGATCTATTGCTGAAAAAAGCAATAGATATGTTGTTTTCTTTCTAAAATTCTATTAAATATTATAAAACTGAATTACAAAATTTGGAATAATTGCAAGTAGGTGTGAATTTCAGTGCTATTTTTAATTGATCTTTGATGTGACAGAATTAAAAGAAATAATAGAATGATAATGATTCTTAAAACTTCTTTTAACAATTGTTTAGACTGCCTATGCAATTTATAAGCCAAAAACTATGGACAATGCTATCATTGCTATTATGAAAAAAATACTCTTTTCCCCATCTTAATTATTGTAAAGATTCATACTGAATGCATCATAATTACATTGAATAACTTATGCTCCAATTTGAGAACATAATTATAGCATTATTTTACAGAATTTGAAAGAAGTATCATTTAACTATTCAAGTACTATCAGATGAATTATAGGCAATAGAGTGCAAAAATCTATATTTTTATCTTTGTTGCATTTAGGAGACTTTCATTCAAGTGATATTTTTCAGTTCCATTCAGGTCATCTGTTCATTCAAATTACCCTTATCCTTTGAAAGAAGAAAATTGACTGACACTTTGGCTCTACGATTTTTTTTTTTTTTTCGCTCTATGATTTTGTCATGTAGACATAAGAGAAAATACAGCTAAGTTTAAGCGAACAATTCTAAAGTTTAGAGTGATGTTGAAGTGATTTCTACAGTTCTAAATTTTAATCAAATGTATTTGCTTTTCTAAGATACTTTACCATGATTATGTAGCTTTCAACAGGGTCTAGAAATAATATATAAGGGAAACACTGGATAATTTTAAATGGTAAAAAATGCACTAATTTCTAGAGACAAAAAATGCTAAACTATATAGTGGTTAACATTGGAAGTGAAGTCACTCAACTGTGTCTGACCAATGGACTGTAGCAAGCCAAGCTCCTTCGTCCATGTGATTTTTCAGGCAAGAATACTGGAGTGGGTTGCCATTTTCTTCTCCAGGGGATCTTCTTGACCAAGGGATCAAACTCAGGTCTCCTGCACTGTAGGCAGACTCTTTACCATCTGATCCCATATTGGTTAACAAGGTTTCAACTGTTATATAAATTGAAATATTATATGTGTACATGTATCTGTATGATTATGAATATGTACATACTTGAAACGCTATTATATAATAGCCCATGATCTCTTACACACCAAGTGTGTAATCTTCCTTTTTTAATGTTAATAGTAATAAAGTGTCATTTAAAGGCATGGCTTTGTTTCTTTGCTTTTGACATATTTTATCAAACAAATCCCCTACATCATAACAATTGAGGTTTCAGCTTTCAGAATAGACTAATATGATATGAACTCATTGAAAAAACTAGTGATAATTTAAAGGCTGCTTTACATTGTTGTTTTTAAAAAAAGATAACTAGTAGAAATGTGTAGATTTTTCTACGGTAATAATAATTTTTTTCAATGAAAATCATTTTAAAATCAGGAATTGTAGCTCAACTTGTTTGTCCAGATTTTCAAGTTGGAGAAATAGCTAATTGCAGAATTTAGAAACATTTTTAAGGGTCTAGTTTAAATTTGACTTTATATCTAATATCAGTGAGAGTTTATCGTGCTCAGTCCTTCTCCACACAAATGTGTACTTGAGAAGTGTCTTATTTTTAAGTGGTGAGAGGAGGATACTTTGACATAAAAACCATCTACTAGACACACCCTACATTTCGTGAAAAAACCTAAATGTATTTTCTCTTTAAATCTGTGAGAGGGAAAATTATATTCACTCATTTGTATGACTTGGGGGACTCATAGAGATGTTAGGCTTATAGAAAGAAACAATTCTGAAATTGTCAAACTCTCCTCCTTAAATGTCTGTTCACTGCATACAGTTTTAGCTTATTTTTCTAGTATGGCTGGCACTGAAGAAGCAATAATAAATTATTAAATTGAAATCATTAACTGACTATTCACAGCAGACACTGTACTTTGCTAATTGTATGCTTGGAGGTGGCACAGCGGGAGGCTGTTTCAGAATTCTTCTTTAATTAAAATTACATAGAATTACAAAGCACCAACTGTGAACAGTAATGAAATCTTGGTAGAACCATTCTGTTCACCTGGAAAACGATACAGGCACACATTGAGAAGAACTGCCACATCTTATACACCTAACATAGTAGAATGGAGTACACCATGCCAGGATACACTGAAAATACGACAGTAAATTCTAGGAGGGATTCTAAGTGGCATCTCTCTAGTTTTCTTTGAAAATAAGACTTGAAAGGATTACTGATTGATTGGGCTGATTCTAATTTCCAATTTGTCTTTCCAAACTTCTCATTGATTTCAACTTTGCTTAAGTACTTGAATGTGTCCAGCAGTTCTTTTCCAGAAAGTTCTAGAAAATTCTAATGTTGTGTTCTAAACAATATTTATTTTTGCTTGAAGTAACCCTGAAGTTAATGCTAGATAGTATATTAAGTACCAACATAGGCAACATTCTTATACATAAAAACTCTTAATACTGCTAATAAAGTTTGGGAAATGCCATATTTATAGTACAGAACAATTGCTAACTTTTGATTGTGCTTTATCAGAGTGGCTCACCTTTAGTGGCTCATTAAAAACTTTACTTTTGATAGCATTTTATCATAGGGTCCATCTTAGATTTTATTTTTCTTCATAGTCTACAGGTCTTTTTTTGATGTAAATATAAATAGTAAATTGTTCAACTATAATAAAAATAACAACATAACAATAAAGGTAGATAATTATATATTTAAACTTTGATTTTAAAAAGAACTAGACTCTATAAATGAAACTGATATACCAGATAACCTGCTATTGAATACTATCAACTAATGCCATCATTTTAATAATAAAATTTGGAATAGCCACGTGGTCTTTAGTGCAAATATATTAGATGTAATAATTTATAATGAATTTATTAGAGCCATATTGTCCGTCTAAATTTTGTCTCATATGTTCCCTTAGAAATTAAGTGCATTTCTCCTAAGATATCTGACTTTGCCGGAACAGCTGCTACTGACCTTAACTAAAATCAGAAGAATACTCTCAGAGACTAAAACCCTAGCTCAGGTTTAGTAAAACTTGAAATATTCCTAAAGTATGCTTACATTTTCTGTTATTTACAATGTCTTAAAGTTTTGCTAAGCATATAGGTCTTTGAACTAAGTGGGAAGAAATACTATACACTGCTGATTATTTTTATTCTAAAATTTTTACAGTAAAAAACTAATTTTTTCAAGTTATACACAAACTGGAAACTGAGCAAGTATCTTGATTTTAAATTTTAGTAACTATTTTATCTTTCTGATAAATAAAAAATTTAAGCCAATGTAGCAAGTGCCAATAGCTCTAGAGCAATCAATTGGGATTTATTTTTGCGTGACAACCAATGTTTGAAGTCATAATTCCCTTTAACAGTCCTGGTGAATAATTATTAGTCACATAACTCCTTGAACATGTTTACTGGTTTCTTTTTACTTAAAGGACACATGAAGTTTTTAATTGCCCATAATTTAGAATTTGGGGGCATTTAACAATTTTAAAATTTGGGGGTATCGCCTGAATCAAATCTTTCCCTGATACGTTTAAAGATATTTCAAGAAATTTTTTGCCCTCTACTCATTTGATGAACCTCAGTTATTATTCAAAGGTTTTTATCCTGGAGGGTATTTGAATTTATCCTTATCTTCTAAACAATTACCCGAACAACACAGAGGAATAAGAACTTGGACTCTACACTTATGAGCATTTAAAAGTATTTACTGATTTGGTAACTCATAGGATGACTGGCTAAGTACTCAACCTAAATATTACCTGCCAATTTGTCAGGGTTTAGGATATTTTTAATGGCTATTTGAAAATGTTAAATGTGCTTCAAATTATGTCTATGAGGTCTACATTCACAGGGCTTAGTTCACTATGATTGTTCAGAGGTATTACTTGTAAACATGATGCTGTTTTACCAAAAGCAAAAAAAAGCAGCACATAAAATCAGCCATCAAAATATTTTTTAAAATGGGATATGATGTAAACAAACATTGTGTGTATTCGGGGAAAATTTGGAGTTTACAAAATTACACACTAAGCAATCTGATAACAAATGTCCAAGATATAAGCATTTTCAGAGGATTCAACAAATCTCAAGGTCCCCAGGTAGAAGCTGTTTTCATAGAGCACTAGGAATGCCTCTGATGTTTTAATTCTTCAGATTTCCAACAAGGTTAAAAAAAAATCACAATTTGTATTTTGAAATTATAAATTTATTTTTAGCTATTTAGCATTCAATCTTGGGCAGCTATAAAGACTTATTTCAAGTATTAATGACTGTGTTGTATTTAACCTTTAACCCACTGGTGGTATTCATGGCAAATGAATATTTAATCAAATGTCATAAATTTCATTTAATCAAAATAATTCTTAAATGTTATAAAAATATTAACATCTAATAAAATTGTTAAATATTTAATAATTTGTTTTTATAATTTTCTATTCTGAAGTAGTTTAATAAAAATATATATATATCTTAACGAAACAATTTCAGTTGTTTAGTAAGAACACATTCATAGTTGTTCCTCATCGAACTAGCATTTCTGCTGGCCTGTGTGTGGATTATCTTGTTTTGGAAAATCTTTCTTACCACATTATTGTTTTTATGAGATTTAATTTCCAAGGTTCTGGGAATTATTTTTAAACCTAGGATTACATTAGTCATATCTGTAAGAATCATAACGAGGGTGGCATTAAAAAACAAATAACTAATTGGAGGCAAAATGAACTGAAGGACTCAATGGGTCTCTCTAGACACTCCATTTAATACCAGGTAAAGGTACACAATGGAATGAGAAATCTCAAATCAATCTAGTGAGTACTTACATGTACAGAGTCTATCAGAATTGTAAGTCATAGAAAGTTGGAAAGAGAAAAGAATTTTTATATTAATACAGTATAAAGACATTATTACTTATAGTTAGCAACAATCTGAAATTCAGAATATTTCACTTGCCAATCTTCAAATTATGTGCCTTTGATATTAAAACATATTCATTTAATCTTCTCAGGGTTCTTAAGTGGTTAAATAAGGTTTACTACAATTATCTAAATAGGTGTATGCCTTTCACATCCATATGATTTTATTATCGATGTAATATTTAAGCACACAAACAGAAAACAGTATTTTTTAAATCTGAATTACATTGCTCAAGAAACACTTTATATCAGCTTTTAGCTTGTCCTTCATTTTACTGAGTGTGTGTTTTTTTAAATAAATATAAAATGTAAAAATGAAACATTTTGTATTGGGTAAAATATTTACATAGATTAGAAAACATGCAAAATGCATACAAAGAGACTACAGGGAAGAGATTGTTAGTTCAAAGAATATGGACAAGTTTCAGTCAAAATGTGGAATGAAACATATCAAAAGTCAGTTCAAGAAAACAACAACAACAAAAAATGCCCCTCTTTTTAAAACGTTGTAATGGTTGGCATCAAAATCAAAATTTGACATTCATTTTTTAAAAAATTAAAAATGTATATTCATATGTAACAACAAGCAAGAAGACAAAACACATCAAAAGTGGGAATTAAAAACAACTCTTCAAAAAAAGACAAGAAGTAAAAAAATAGAAAAGGGTGGAAAAAGTGATTGAGGCTCTTGTCATGCAAATAGATTGGGTGGAGAAAAATACCTTCATCTTCAGCACCGTCATTATCACCTAAATCATCTGTCTGTTTCTTTGTAAGGGGACCTAGGATTGAGAACGGAGAAATGGAGGGGAAAAAAAAAAAAAAAGACAATTCAAGAATAAACAAGACTGAGGGGAAAAAATAAGTGCAAATACTAAAATTCTCAAGGATTATTTCCAAAAAGCGTGGGGGAGTGATTACATTAAAGTTGGTTATCGATTTTGTTTAAGAAAAAAAAAATTCCCTTTCCCCAAAATATCTCACAGATTTGGCTTGTGAATATATCCAGCATAAAAAATACATATGGTTTGAAAGTCACATCATAAGCAAAGGAAATGATTTTTTTAATACCAACTGCATACAAAAAAAGTAAACAGTTTTATTAGCTGAAAGAACTTAATTTATTCAGTGTCTTTTCTAATTTGAATTGGTGATAACAATAAAGAAAGTAGGCCAAACTCATTCTTTAATTTGGAACAATATAGGGAAAACAGAGATATAAACATTTTTAGAGTTTTTTCTTTTCTTTTTTTTTTCTTCTGTTTTATTGTAAAAGCATTAACACTTAGGTTTTACACATTTTTATGTCACACATTTTTCAAAACTGTGATTTTTTTTAAAATTACTTGTCATTACACAAATATTTCCCCATGTGTTTTGATTAAAAAGTAGCCGTGGATTTAAAATCTTTGCAGCTTGCACACATGTATGAATAAATAATCTCATCAGTTGGTAGAGCAAAGGTACCACTGTAGAAGTCAGTGTTTGTAATTAAGGTAGTTATGGAGTCAGGGCTTATATTTCATAATCAATTTAGAAATATAACAAATTATGCCCAAGTGCAATTTCATGCCCAGTGTAGTTATTTATAATGGGATGTTTTAGGATAACAATTGTATTAAAATATTGTTTAATAAATGTTTTATTATTCTTAACAATATTAATTTGCTAAGAATAAAGTAGGACACCAAAGGGGAAGTCAAAGGCCATATGAAAGTAATTTTAAGCATCACATAATTGACATATTCAGCACACAAAAAAGCATGTGAAGCCCTCCATTTCTTTTTGTTTCCACAGCCATTTAATTTGTACGGCATTTCATAATCCTCATGCAAAAAGCAATCATTACAAACACATAACACTCAAGTTAAAAGACAGCCAACCACATAACCATAAGCAAGAGAATTTTGTCATGCATAAAATAACAGTTATAGAAAAAGGAAGGAAAAAAAGAGGACTGAACGCCATATGTTGATTTTAATAATATAAATAGTAAAGAAGCAGGCATTAATTCTAAGCACACTTGATAGGAAGGGACTGTTAAACATTTTGAGAAAGATTTCTAAGTCTTTTCAGTGATTACCATGTATTGTTTGTAATTCAAAGCTACATTTTAATATCACAGCCTTCACAGAATAAAAAACACCATCCCAGAAAACAGAAGGAAAAAATGAGACATATATGAGTTTTATCAGCTCAGAGGGACAGCCTTGAGAAATAGTAATAACTGGCAAAGACCAAAGATTGGAAATAGAGAAACTGATGACGTAACAGAAGGGACCCATTGATTACTCAATTGTAAGGTCATAGTTTCAAGGCCATTCCTGATACAGAGGAGCTCTACACAGTAAATTAAATGGTAAATTTCATAGTCCTGCAAGTAACCATTCCACTGAGAAGAAAAAGTAGATGAAAGCAATAGTTTACAATTAGCACTCCTTTGCAAGTTCACAGAAATCTATATTTCTTGAATATAAGCCTGTTTAAATGAAGATAGTATCCTCAGTATTATATGATGTTCATGCAACAATGTTGCTGCATTTCTGAAAAATAGAAAAACATTAATTTTGATTTAAAAATTACTGTATCAGAACTATATTTGAAATATTGAATATCTTACATCATGTAAAATATTAGACTTAGAAAAATGTTTAACTTTTCTGTAATTACCTAAAGGAATAAATTAATAAACCTCAACAAATATATTTTCTTGCATTTCTATTTTCAAGGACACCATATAAAAATTATGGTTTTATTTACTAGTTAACAACACAGATTAAAGTACAGGATAGTTTCTTATTGATGCCAAAATACATCTGTTTTCCAATTTTAGCTAAATTACTTAATTTGCTTAACTCTTGGCTATATTAGGAAACCCTTAATGTGAGCTCAAATTTTTCTTTGTTAAATTGTTATTTTAATAATTTTTGGAGAGAAACGTAAATCCTATCATAATTACATTAAGTATGCAGCTATATATCTCTCTTGGAAGATGTCTTTCTTTCTCCTCTTAGGGTGCCCCAGGCAATTTACATGATTCCTTTGGAAATCATTCAGGTTCTACATCCAAGAGTCAGTAGTTTTACATACTTTACACACATACAAAATTGCTAGCCGTTGGTCTACATGAGATAAGATAGCAAACAATTTTTATTAACACAATGTCTCCCAGTTGTTTGCCAGGTGAACATAGTTCTCAGTTGCTATTTGCCTCTGGGTCTGTATTAGTAGATAAACCAGGGAAGTGATGCTATTTCTGTGGGAGAACTTTTCCACACAGGGAATGGCTGCTACATTATTTATAAGTACTTTTCATATTCAGAAAGTTGCAAAGATCTTAACTGATGTGAGATAATGAATACATACATACACTACATGGAACATCTTTTACTTAGCAAATCTGAAGGGCTGGAAACATACAGATACTGCTTCAGCATCATGAACAGATGAGGGCATCATTATTCAAAGGAAGGGTTAAGCCAATTTCTCAACTAAAGAATTCCATTTATTGAATACTATCTGAGAAAAAAGAAAGTGAAGTCACTCAGTTGTGTCCGACTCTTTGCGATCCCATGGACTGTAGCCTACCAGCCTCCTCTGTCTATGGAACTTTCCAGGCGAGAGTACTGGAGTGGGTTGCTATTTCCTTCTCCAGGGAATCTTCCTGACCCAGGGATCAATCCCGGGTCTGCAAGCAGATGCTTTACCATCACAGCCATCAGGGAAATCGTGGTGAATGCTATTTAGTAGGTTTTATTTAAAATTTTGTTGGATGATATTAAATTGTTCCCACATTATGGGTTTCAGTAGCATTTGAGATTTTAGTGGGTCAAGTACAATTGGGTTTTCTTAACATCAAGAATTTTTTACACATCTGATTTTTTGAAGGGTACCTGAGAAGAAGAGCTGATAATTTTCCAGCAAGAAAAAAAAAAGGATTATAAAAAGAAAGAAAACAGATTTCCTTTATCTTATGTGCCTAAAGGCACTAAGAATAAATATGAGAGGTTTTGTGTTGCAAACTGAGAAACTAGAGTAAATATGTTTATGGATTATAGAAATATCTCTACATGATCTCAAGATTCATTATTCCCAGGCTGGAAAGAAAACCATTTCCTTGATCTCTCTTCTTTCTAGAATATTAGCAACTCTGTCTCACTTTTCCTTTATTTCAATCTGTTACTGTTGATATAATTACTGATGCTAAAAAATTTTAAGTAGAAATATTTTAAGGGGTAATTGTCATTAATTTTCTAACAAATATAGGCAACCACTATTTAGAGACTATGCATTCCAGCAAGTTGATCACCATGATTTCCTCAAAGAGCAAAACATTTACCGTTCATCATAAATAACAATCATTATCAACACTCCAACCACAGCTTATGCTTCTTTTAGACTACAAATAGTGCATCTTCAAAACCAGCAGTTTAAATGGACATCTTAAATCACCAAAGCATAAAGGAAATGAGTCCTCTAAAACCTGAGTGTGGAAGTGATTTATTCTATATTGAAACTCCATAGGGTCTGTCCTCCTTGAGGAACTCACTCATAACTCTTATTAGAGTTAATAAGAAAGCAGATCGCATGTCTTTTTGAAACGAAGTGAGAGTAATTACTATATTTTATATCTCCCAAAGCCAATAAATAGATTCAGTGGTGAAACAACAGGACTAAGAAAGGTACAGGAACTCCTAACCATGAACTTTGAACTCAGTTAAACCCAAAATAGTTCCTTTGCCATTAACATAAGTATAATTCAAAAGATGCATGATGCATTCTTACATTTCAGAATCTGACCACAGTGCCTTTTATATTTTGAAAAAGGAATAAAAATATCAGCATTTCTCTGTAGTTAACTGCAGAATAATTATGAGCACCGAAATAATTACTATCCACCCACATTAAAGCTGCTTTTTATCATTCCCTTTGATGAAGGTCTAATATACTTTAGGTCTCAAATACATTAGAACTGATTATAAATTCCTTCATTACAGGTTCAATTCAGCAGAAATTATTTGTACTTTGTGTCACACATATCTGCAAAAAAAGGCAAGTAGGTTGAGGGTATCATTAGCTTCTGATTCAGAAAGCTAGCTGTCCATGAGAAATGTGTGCTTCTTAAGAGAATACGTGTGGAATTTTTAGAATTATTGAGAGCTCCAGTCTCCAGTGAGTCCCATCATGATGGAGATGGAGAGCCTTGGCTAAAGACCCTGCCATACTCTTTCCCCTGCCCTCTTTACCCAACAGCCTTAGAGGTAAATTGACTGTAAAAGATTCCTAAGGCAGTTTCCACAGAATGGGAAAATCTAAGGATGTTGTCATTGTTGTTTTGGGGCCACTGGAAGCAGGCTAAATCTCTTCAGAGATGTTGTTAGGACAAATTTATTTACAAAACTAAGATCAAGGATATAAAAATCTAACTCTGTCTGAAGAATGTATGGAGGACAACACTAGACTTCAATACATTTTAAATAAAAACAGCAGTATATGACTGTATCTGATTTTTTCCAAATTGATAAACATTTAAATACAATGACTTTAAGAAATCAAATATCACAACAATTGGTGTCATTGCAAAGGTATTAAATTTTACCCACTGAAATTTATTCTATTTAATATAACTGCAATATATACCTCTTAAGAATGCAAAAATGCGTGAAAGTAATTGACTTGGAATGATACTCATTAATTTGATAATACTATACTACTTAAAGTTATCACATTTCTTAAACAATCGATTATATGAACATGTATCAAAATATCATACCAAAAATAT